TGAACTTTGGGCCTGAGAGCTGCCCCTCAGCTCTTCAGCTCAAGGCTAGCACTCTACTACTTGAGCCACAATGCCACTTCCAGCTTTTTCTGCTTTACATGGTGCTAAGGAATCGAACCCAGGATCTCATGCATGCAAGGCAAGCACTCTACCACTGAGCCACCTTCCCAGCCTAAATTGTTTTTTTTGTTTGTTTTTCCAGTATCTGGAAAGGTAAAAGACGTGTGTGTTCGCGCATGTGTGCCACAAGCACCCATATACTCGTCGTGGGCCTTTTACCCAAGAGCCTGACCACTGCTCAAGGCTAGCACTCCAGCACTTGAGCACAGCACTACTTCTGGCTTTTTGGTGGTTAATTGGAGGTAAGAATCTCACTGACTTTCCTGCCCAGGCTAGCTTCAAATCAAAATCCTCAGACCTCAGTCTCTCAAGTAGTTAGGATTATATGTATGAGCCATCAGCACCCAGCCAAAAAATATTTTAAATAGGACAAACCAAGAATTCATAAAGAAAAATATAGTGAGTTTGCCTATGTAAAAACTTTTCAACTCTATGGGGAAAAAAAGATAATAGAAACACCAACCAAAACAAGCTGAGGAGAACAAAACTGAGTAATATGTATACACCATATAAGACAAAGAATCAATTGTCTGTTTTTGGAAAGCTCTTAAATCAATTAGAAAAACACAAATAACCTAATAAAAAAATGGGCAAAGGCAACAAAATATAGTTCACAGACATAAAAGAAACATAAAATAGTAAAATAAATTTTTTTCAACTATCAAACTGACAGTAACTAAAAAGTTTGCTAATCTAAGAGAATTGGTTTGGGGATTGGGGATTGGATATGGCTATGGCAGTATAAACTGTTTCTACCCTTGGAGCAAAAACACAGTGACAGCACTGAATGAGCACTTGTCTCAGTAGTTCCAACACCCAGGAATCTGCCCTATAAGACAAAACAATTGTAACTTAGGCAATTTTTTTCTAATTCAAAAAGCTGGTTCACCAGTACATGAAAAAAAGTACACAATAACCATAAAATGAAATATAACATATGCAAGAGAATGAAGTTGGTATGTGCATACTGTTGTGGAACAAAGAAGTCTAATATATGCTAGTAAGCAGAGAAGCTGTGAAAACAGAAAGCTGTTGGGTTAATAGGTGATGAGTGGGGAAAGCAAAAGTATAAGTGAGTAGTCTATATGATTAAAGTACTGTAGATGACTGTGTGAAATACCAGGGTGATGCTACTTTAGTAACAGACTTTTAAAAAATGACAGGAAGGGGAGGGCAAATGGAAGGATGAAGGAAACTGAATACGTTCAAAATTGTTTCCGTACCTGTGTGAAATGAAAAAAGTGAAGCCTGTTGAGATTCGTTCGAGAAGCAGGAAGATAAAGGATAGTGACAGAGGGGATGAGTCTGATCAAGACACACTATTTGTGTATATGATCATATCAAAATAAAACCCCCTTTTACAACTAATTAATGCTATTGTAAGAAAAAAAAAAAGCAGAAGCAAGCAAATTTTTTTTTAGCATCAGGTGCGTTATATATGAAGAAAGCATAACATGTTAAGGAAATTGCTGACAATGAAACCAGAGTTGACTTTTACTTTCTGTTTTATTTCTATGCTGCCTTAATTGTTCAGACATCACACAACCAAACACTAGCTATTAAAAATAATAATAATAAAAAGCCAGGCGCTGGTGGCTCACGCCTGTAATCCTAGCTACATAGGAGGCTGAGATCTGAGGATCGCGGTTCAAAGCCAGCCCAGGCAGGAAAGTCCGTGAGACTCTTATCTCCAATAAACCACTAGAAAACCAGAAGTGACACTGTGGTTCAAGCGGTAGAGTGCTCGGGACAGCACCCAAGTCCAGAGTTCAAGCCCCATGACTGAACAAAAAAAAAAAAAAAAAAAAAAGATGTTCCACTTGTGCTCTCCTTATGAGAGAGGAAGAAAAAAAGTCAGATCCACCAGTCCAAAAGCTGAGTGGGACACTGGGCCTCCTCCTCTAACCCAGTTCTACTCTGGTGGAAATCAGAAAGGACATCACCACTTAGGACCTTCTGCCCTCTAAGACAATAATGTAGGATCTGAATGTAGGACCTGAATTGTCCATCACCAATTATATCCCATGCCCAAGCATGCCCATCCCAGTCTGGGATTTCAAGTCTATAATGGAAAGTAAATGATGGCTAAGCACAAAAAACTGAGGGCTGAAATTACTTTGTCTGTGTCTTTTAAGTGTCTTTTGAGTCCAGGAGTTCAAGACTAGCCAGGACAACATAATGACACCCCCCCTCCCCACCTTGGAAGGAAAGAGGCATAGCTTAATTTAAATATATACAAGTACATATATATGGATCTATATAATGAATATGTAAATATGTACCTATATTCATATATAATATATAATATCCATATAATATATCCATATATCCATATATATGGACATATATATGTGTGTGGACTGTATATGTATGTATATATAATATATTTGTGTGTGTGTGTGTGTGTGTGTGTGTGTGTGTGTGTGTGTGTGTGTGTGTAGTCCACATACAAGACTACAGAATTCCTGCCCTTTCTAAGGGAAAAATAAAAAACATCATCTTAGAAATTTAAACTTTTTTCCATATATACACTTTAGAGATTTTCAATCCATTGGGTTATAAAGAATACAAACTCACCAAATACAGGGACTCTATAATCCTAAAGTCATTCCAAAGCCAGACCCCAGAAAACCAATCTAAAAGACGTTTGCATCCAAACAACTAGCCAAAAGCAAAAAGTAGAGGTGTGGCTCTAGTGGTAGAATATCAGTACCAGCACAAAAAAAAAAAAAAAGCAAAGAAGAATAGTCAAGAGCGGGGTGCTGGTGACTCACATCTGTAATCCTAGCTACTAAGGAGGCTGAGATCTGAGGATCGCGGTTCAAAGCCAGCCCAGGCAGGAAACTCCATGAGACTCTTATCTCCAATAAACAACCAGAAAACCGGAAGTGGCGCTGTGGCTCAAGTGGTAAAGCACTAGCCTAGAGCTGAAGAGTTAAGAGACAGGGGACAGGTTGACAGGGGACAGGGCCAAGGCCCAGTTCAACCCCCACGACTGTCAAAAAAAAATAGCCAAGCAGTGCTCCATAGAAGATATATCTGTCATGCTATCCGTACTCCTGCTCTCATCAGAATACACTTTATTTAAATAGGAACAAAAGTGTATTATTACCAGGAAATAAAACACAAGTATTTCTATATGAAAATATTGGCTTTATCTTCAAAAAAATGACAAGAAGCCAGGTGATGGTGGCTCAGGCCTATAATCCTAGCTACTCAGGAGGCTGAGATCTGAGAATCCTGGTTCGAAGCCAGCCCAGGGAGAAAAGTCTCCACAAGACTCTTATCTCCAATAAACTACTCAAACAAGCAGAAGCAGTACTGTGGCTCAAGTGGTAGATCACTAGCCTTCAGCAGAAAGAGGCTTAGGGAAAATACCCAGGACCTGAGTTCAAGCCCCAGGACAAGCAAAAGAAAAAAAAAAGAACTAGAGCCCTATATTATTGACTCAACTCACCCCAGGACTTTGCCTGTCTGGCTCATGTAAAAGCCAGTTTCTAGCCAGGCTAACCAGACTCCAGTTGCTCATGCCTATAATCCTAGCTACTCAGGAAGCTGAGATCTGAGGATCATGGTTCAAAGCCAGCCTGGGCAGGAAAGTCGGTGAGACTCTTTTTTCTTTTTCTTTTTCTTTTTTTTTCTCTAGAAGCTTGTGTGAGTTCTTTATTTTTTTTTTTTTAATTGTGAAAATACAGCACAGAGGGGTTACAATTACATGGGCAATGGGCTGAGAAGGTGGCTCAGTGGTAGAGCACTTGCCTTGCATGCTCGAGGCCCTGGGTTTGATTCCTCAGCACCACATAAGAAAAAAGCCGGAAGTGGCGCTGTGGCTCAAGTGGTAGAGTGCTAGCCTTGAGCTGAAGAGCTGAGGGAAAGTGCCCAGGCCCAGAATTCAGGCCCCACGACCGGACCCAAAAAAAAAAAAAAAAAAAAAACAATTACATGGGCAAGGTAATGAGTATATTTCTTATCAAGCATTGTTGCCTCCTCCTTTGTTTCCCCTTCCTATCCCTCCCCCTTCCCTCCTCCCCTACCCTCCCCACCCTCCTACCCCCCCTGCCAAAGTTGTAAAGTTCGTTTTTCGACATAACATCTTGTATATCTCATTGTTGCAATGGGTCCACCTGTATGTATTCCTACTTAAACAATTTGTTTTTTCCCGTCCCCTCCACAAAGTATACCAACATCAAATACAGTGAAAACAGGAGTTATATCTCCAATAAACCACTCAGAAAACCTGAAATGCTGTGGCTCATGTGGTAGAGCACTAGCTTTGGGCTGAAGAGCTGAGGAACAGTGCCCAGGCCCAGAGTTCAAGCCCCACGACCACCACAACCAACAACAACAACAACAAAAAGCCAGTATCTAGTATACTCCAGCCCTGTCTAGAAGCCAGTGTAGGGGAGAAAGAAAGGACTTAACAGCTGAGGTACTCCTATCTTCGCCTAGCAGTCCTACCAAGCCCCACTAAAACAGAATTATTCCATTAACACTCACATAATAGCTCTACTCTGTTGCTATGCTTTAAAGCAGCAAAGGATTAAAATCTCTTAATCAATAATCATTGGCCTACAGGTACTGTGCACAGTTCATTTTGTCCTACAATATTATTATAATGAGAAGCAAGAGCAGATAAAGGTCAAGTTGGTAATTAAAGCTATATTGTAGAAATATGTACACCCAAGATATGATTAAATAAGAAAATATTACTCAGTTCAGTATGGTCATTAAACTTGCATTAATTTATAAATATTTAAATATACCATATGATGATCATAAATAATCTGTTTTTGGCAGTTTATAAAGTAATATAACCCATAAACCATATGAAATATTACTACAGAGAGAAACAGTCAAGAAAGTATACAAGCCAGACTTACATTCAAATGCTGTAGTTGTTGCTTCAGGTAGAACCTGGCCTATCACATCCTAAACAAAGAAAGAATAAAGAAACACAATAAGTCATCTTCCTTATTGCTAACATATGACAAATCCAATAGGAAATATGAGAACCTGGAAAAGATGTTTGAAATGTTGCCATAAGCCATGTGAACATTAGCTCATAATCATACTTATCTCAACAATGTAAGCCTAAACTTTTTCTTTTGGCAGTTCTGGGGCTTGAATTCAAGGCCTGGGCACTGTCACTGAGCTGCTTTTGCTCAAGGCTAGCACTCTACCACTTGAGCCACAGTGCTACCTCCAGCTTTTTCTGTTTATATGGTACTAAGGAACTGAACCCAGGTCTTCTTCATGAGTGTTAGGCAAACACTCTACCACTAAACCACATTTCCAGCCCCTGTAAACCCAAAGTTTAAATCCCAATTCCAAAGAAAAAAGTCTTCAGCAATCTTCATTAGATTGTACTAACAACAATCTTTTACTTTCAACTACACTACTGTATGTGTGTGTGTGTACACATATACACACACACACACACACACACACACACACACACACATACTGGCAGGGAAGAAGGGGTCAATCATGGGGCTTAAACTCTGGGCCTGGATGCTGTCCCTCAGCTCTTCAGCTCAAGGCAAGTATTCTATCACTTGAGCCATAGTGCCACTTCCAGTTTTCTAGTGGTTTAGGGAGATAAGAGTCTTAAGGACTTTCCTGCCCGGGCTGGCTTTGAACTGTGATCCTCAGATCTCAGCCTACTGAGTAGCTAGGATTACAGGCGTGAGCCACCAGCACCTAGCACTGTATTTTTTTAGATGGTCTCTTCATTGGGAGGCTGTGAAAAAAGAGGGGCTTGAGTGTCAGACCACCCTAGATTTGGATCTGTTCTAGATTTTATTTATTAGATTTTATTAGACTGATTTCTTTTAAAGTCACTCAACCTCTCTGGGCCTCAATCTAATTATTCTCCAGAATGAACCAAGTGATATTTACAGGGATGACAGAAAATCTAAATAATACGATGAACATAAGCTTGGAACTTGGCACATGGTCACAACAGATGTTGTTCCTGATCTGCAAGGAGTCTCCCCCATGATGATACATGCCTAGAAAGCTACATTTAATATCACCTATTCCTATCAACCTTTATTTTTATTCAGGACAGCACTAGGGCTTGAATTCAGGGCCGAGGAACTGTCCCTTAGCTTCTTTCCTCATGGTTGGCACTCTACCACTTGAGCCACAGCTTCAATTCTAGCTTTTTTGTGGTTAATTGGAGATAGGAGTCTCAGACCTTCCTGCTCAGACTGGCTCTGAACCACAATCCTCACATCTCAGTGTCCTAAGTAGCTAGGAATACAGGCGTGAGCCACTGGAGCCCAGTTTCAACCTTTACCCTTAAGCAATGGCAAATATAATGAAAGTGATGCTAATATAATCTACCAAAAAAAGGCAAAAAGGTATATATAATCTGATAGCAATGTGTAAATGAATCTATAAAGTTGAAAACAATCAAGCAATAGGCTCCAGACACAGATTAAGGGAAGAGGAACAGAACACCTAAGCTCTGAAAAGTGATCCTCCATCCAATCTAGTCACAATGGCCTGCAAACCTCATTTTTCTCAGGACCTTGGCCACAAGGCCCACCCTGGCTGCTTTACTAGAATTGGCACCCTGCAGCCAGCTGACAAAGCTGCTCACTGCTCCTGGTGCTTCTCATCAGGGAACCCACCGTCCTTATAAGCAGAACACTTTGCAGAGTAGGAATTGCAACTTCCTTGGAAAGGCAATTCTTTAGAAGCTTTGCTGCAGTGGCAATTTGCATAATAGTCTTGGCTCTCCAGTGCTTTTCCCCCTTTTCTAAAATAAATCTGTACATATAAAATTGATTAAGGGTCACCATCTTAGGCAGTCCTTGCTGATTAGAGTCAAAAAGAGATGATATGTTCTCTGAGTCTAGTCTTAGCAAATGAAACACCAACTTTGTGGAGTATGTGTCTAAGAATTTAGGGTTAGAAAATTCTTTCTACACAATGGGAGAAAATATTTCTTGACAGGGAGCTGTAGAGTGAGTATCAAATAAAGTGCATAGGCATCTAGTCTAAAGCTTGAGAGCGCAGACTCCAGCCAGACTACTAGGGCTGGGTACTGGCTCTGCCTCTCAACCAAAACAAAGGAGCCTCTCTGCCTTAGGGTCCTTATGTAAAAACAAGATCACAGCTTTATGTACCTTGTAGGACAAGTAAGTTAACATTTGTAAAGGGCTTAGAAGAGTGTCCAGTACATGGCAAGTGCCATATTAATGTCTGTTAATAAAAGACATCACTGATCACTAGAATATCACAAAGCTGCCTTCATTACGAAACCTTTAAATTCAGCACCCAACAATCAGTGGAGGACGGATCTTTCCCAGTATTTACTGGAGACCTTTTCTAGCCACTAGAGAGAAGAATGGGAGAAAAGGATAGAGGGCACTAATTCTAACCCTTTTAAGTCCAAGTTATCACTGGGTACTTTCAGAGAGCTCAAATCACTCTGACAACCAATCCTGATAACTGAATGGAGCTCTACAGAATTAGCAAACAATTAGCAAACAAGTCTTGTCCTACTCTTTTTTTATGCTGGTCCTGGGGCTTGAACTTAGGGTCTGGGTGCTGTCCCTAGGCTTTTGTGCTCAAAGCTAGTGTTCTACCACTTGAGCCACAGCTCCGCTCTGGCTGTTCTGGGGGGCTAGTGGGGGTAAGGGGGAGGGACGGTTGGTTAATTGTGAATAAGAGTTTCACATACTTTGCTGCCCTGACTGGCTTTTAACTGAAATCCTTAGATCTCAACTAGAATTACAGGGGTAAGCCACTGGCACAAACTGATCATACTTCTGAGTAGCAGACTCCATCAAACAGCAAGTTGCTAAAAACCAAATACACTGGGTAGCAATGTCATGCTTTGCCCTAAGCAAAAAAAAAAAAAAAAAGGCACCCTACATGCCTTACATCAAATATGGGGAAATGAGAGAAGGAGTAAACTTGCTTGAGAGAATTATGTGAACACAAGACCATCTTGTTTACTTAAGCAAATAAAGTGGAGCTATCACAATAACAAAGGGGTATAAAGTCTGAAAATCAGTAGATACCTATTGGCCATTTTTAAGGAGAGTAAATTTAAATAGTTTTGTAACAGGTGCTTAGACTGTTTCTGCTGAAAAGCACTGAATCCCTATCTGGACCTAAGAATTAGCTAAAAGCTTGACATCCCTACCTCCATTTTCTACCTGTCTTTGTTCTGTCTCTCTCCCTATAGCCACTTTACATCTTTTACACCTTTGAATCCCAGAAAGAGAGGAGTTAACAAGTTTACAAGAGGGGATAGAGGGAAATCAGTGCCTCCTCAGCTCAGTGATAACTTCTCTGAGAGAATGATCCAGCAGAACTTGCCTATAACCAGACTCTTTAAATTATGCATACCTCTCTTCCCCACCTCATTTTTTTAAATCTATGTAAACCTATAGCTCATGTCTATATCCTGAAGATGGCTAAAGATGGGCTGATACTGTCTTTCTACGGCTGTCCACGCCACATAATAAATCTCCTTTCTCTTCCCTTCATCATGTCTTTCTTTGGCATGAACAAGTTAGCTAGACCATTTTATGTGCATTTTCCAGGTATTTCAAGGATTTATTTAAAACTTATTTGAGGGACCTTCTGCCCTCAACAACACATTTCATAAGACCTGAAAGTTCCAAAAGAAAACTTTAAATTAACATCTTGATGGTGATCATTTCTTGATCAATTTCTTCTCCATCCTTTTAATAAATCAGACAAACAGCCAGGTGCTAGTGGCTCACGCCTGTAATCCTAGCTACTCAGGAGAGGCAGGAAAGTCGGTGAGACTCTTATCTTCAATAAACCACTAGAAACCGGAAGTGGCGCTGTGACTCAAGCCGTAGAGTGCTCCCTTGGGCTGAAGAGCGCAGGGACAGCGCCCAAGCCCAGGGTTCCAGCCCCACAACCTACCAAAAATAAAAATAAATTAATTAAATAAATAAATCAGACAAACAACTAATAGGCCAAAAATAAAACAGAGCGGCTAAGCCAGGTGCTAGTGGCTCACAACTGTAATTTTGCTACTAAGGAGGATAAGACCTGGAAGATAAAGATTTGAAGCCTATCTTGGCAGAAGTCCATGAAACTCCATCTCTAACCAGCAAAATGCTAGGCTGGAGTTGTGGCTGAAGTGGTGGAGTGCCACCTATGAGCAAATAAGTACAAGACCTCAAGTTCAAGTCTCAGAACCAGAGATTGTGGGAGGAAGGATCTGAGCATTTATAATAGCTTGCTTTTTTAAATTTTTTTATTGTAAAAATATGCAGAGGGGTTACAGTTACATAGGCGAGGAAATGAGTACAATTCTTGTTGAACATTGTTACCCTCTCCCTCATGTTCTCCAGCTATCCCTCCTGCTCTAGCTTGCTTCTTAAATAGCTAGAGTAGAATAAAACTTTTGCTCTTGACTTCAGGATTATACTCTAGTTGCCAAGATAAAGACGGACAATTAAAAAAAAAAAAACATTTCTGGTAATGATAAATAGCTTTTTCTAACTCAGAAGGAAAGAAAAGCAAAGGTTCAGTGTACACAAAAATTTCAAGTGGGGGAAACTGAAGCTGAAGCTTCATGACAAGATACCAAGAGCAGGGAGAGGAGGGCTGGACATTTTCCCCACCACACTCTAAACCAACCTAATCCTGGACAGGTTCCCTAAAGCTAGGGGCTGTCTCCAGGGAGAATAAGTGCCGAAAGCTGAAAAACACATACAACAGATACCCCATAGGTCTCTGCCTCTAGGGACCAGGAAACCCTCCTTCCTCCTTCATACTACAGCCAGTTCCTGATGATTCAGGTAAGGCCCAAAGAAGCCAAATGTATTCTCCAGGGTCACCTAGCTGTTTGGTAGAGTGACAAGGATCCGGCACCAGTAGTTCATGCCTATAATCCTAGCTACACAGAGGGCTGAGATCAAGACAATCAAGGTTCAAAGCCAAGAAACTTATGAGACTCTTATCTCCAATTAACCACCAAAATTTGGAAGTGGAACTCTGGCTCAAGTGGTAGAGCACCAGCTCTGGGCATAAAAAGTTAAGGGACAGTACACAGGCCTTGAGTACAAGCCCCAGAATCAGCACAAAAAGTAAAAAAGTGATTGGGGTCAAAGATATTCAGTTACTCTAGACTCAACAACTGACCCCTACTTCTAGATTATGTTGGTTCTGCCAAAAACTAGCTGGTTTTTCCCCTGGTCCAAGCTCTGGCCTCCTTTTCTGAAAACAAGGTGAAGAGGCATCTTAGAGGAAAGATTTTCTAAGTATTGCATAGCTTTAAAGCCAGAGACACTGACATTCCTTCGGGTTGTGTTCTTTTTTCTTTTTCTTTTTTTTTTTGTCTGTTCTTGACGAAGAGATGAGGAGATGAAGAGGTCATCATTTCCTGGTGATCTGAAATTTCACTGGAAGAACTTGCTCTGAAGAAGCACTGAAAGTCTGCACAGACCCACTGCCATGAGTCTCTCCATCAGACCTTCTGATTAATGTGCTCCAGCTGGGCTTACCCCAGCAAAATGTGCAGATGGTACAGTGAGCTCTGGTAGTGAGGTAACTTGAGCACTGCCTAACTAAGATCAGAGACCAACCCAGAATGGTGGTACATGCCTGTAATCCCAGCCATGTGGGAAGGAGAGAGGCAGAATGACAGCAAATCCAAGGCTAGCCTGGACAAAATTACTAAAACCTAATCTCAAAAACAAAATACAATTTTTAGCTGGGCACTGGTGGCTCATGCCTGTAATCCTAGCTACTCAGGAGGCTGAGATCTGAGAATCACAGTTCAAAGCCAGCCCAGGAAGGAAAGTCCATGAGACTCTTATCTCTAATAAACCACTAGAAAACTGGAAATGGCACTGTGGCTCAAGAGGTAGAGTACTTGCCTTGAGCTAAAGAACTCAGGGACAGCGCCCAGGCCCAGGGTTCAAGCCACACAACCAACAACAACAAAAATACAAATTTTTAAAGGACTAGAAGCCTAGCTCAAGAGGTAAAGCTGCCTAACATGGTAGAGAACCTAAACTCAATCCCCAATAGTAGGAGGAAAAAAATCCAAACAGCAGCAGAAGACCAAAGGCCCTGATGACACTGTAGTGACAACAGTTACAGAGAGAGCCCTTATATGCTCTCCACATACCAGCCCTGGCAGTCCTCAGAACTCTAGAAATAGACACTGGATTTAATCCTCCCCTTTTTTTTAAGAAACTGAAATAAAAATAATAAAAAATAAAAAAACATTAATCCAAGTGGTAAGACTTTCAGTTTAAATTCAGGGGAGTCTGGGGCCAGAGCTTGTGGTGTTAGTCACCCTCATCTACTTAAAATAATACTGCCGGTTGTTCGGAATGTCAGGTAAGAGAAAACTCATCATATTCATCTTCAACACCTCACAACATCTTCACAAGGCTCAAGGCAGGTATCAGGGACACTACAAATAGAGAAACTGAGGCTCAGAATAGAGTGACTTACCTAGTTCATTGGCAAAAAAAAAAAAAAAAATGTCTTGACTCAAAACCTAGCATTTGTTCAAAACTACAACAGCACACATCCTTTTTTATTCTCCCTCATTACACAAATGTGCCAGGGTCCCACAAACAGCAGAAAAAGAGGAAACAGATTTTCCCACCCATCCAGAAGTGCTTCTAGAGAAACGAAGGCAAAGAATCACAACCAAAAGTGTACTTTTGCTGGCACATGCCCTCAAAGCTGCAGGAAAAAGAGAGGTGGCCACTTACTAACACAAACTCAGAACTTGCTTCCTCCTGGTGGTAAACTAATGAGAAGGACAGAGTGGCAACCACCAGATCACTCAGAGGTAGGGATCGGTGCTCTATGTACCTAGGACCAGGATGTTCATAAGGTTGTGGTAAGGGAGGAAGAGGGAACCAAGCCGACCACTCCAGTCAAGCTGTATCTAGTGTGCTTTCTGAGCAGAAAGGACAATGTAGGAAGAACTCTGAATGCAGAAAAAAGAAACACTTTGATGCATAGGCCTGGAAGCTATTGGCTCTCATTAGTCTCTACACTCCTGCAACTGAAAGCCTACAGGGTCAGTAACATCTAGAGCTTCAAAATGAAGTTAACAGAAATCAAACTCTTTAAGTAATCCAAGATGATTTAGGGAAAAAAAAAAAATCACATTACAAACCAAACACTGGTGGCTCATGCCTGTAAATCTACATACTCAGCAGGCTGAGATCTAAAGATCATGGTTCAAAGCCAGCCCAGGCAGAACACTTTTTGAGACCCTTAGCTCCCATCACCCAGCAAAAAGCCAGAAGTAGAGTTGTGGCTAGTGGCAGAGCACCAGCATTGAATGAAAAACCCAAGCAAGAGCAAAAAGTCCTGAGTTCAAGCGCCCAATAGTGGCATTTAGAAAGGAAGGGAGGGAGGGAGGGAGGGAGGGAGGGAGGGAGGGGGAAAAATCATATCACATGTATCTTCCTCTTTCCTCCTCCCAAAAGCTGCCAGTCAGCCCACTTCTTATCTTGCAGGTAAGGTCCACTGTATATCTGTCTCTTGCAACAAGAAACAACTAAGTATGTCCATTTCAATCCACAGTTGTGTTATTAAATACATAAACTGAGCACAATACACCTCTATCAATAGCAAATGAAGACTATAAAGATGTAAGGGGGCTGTGACATGAAGGAAAAAAATACAATAAAGTTTAAGTAAGGAAGTTTGAATCAGGCACCAGTGACTCAGGCTTATAATTCTAGCTACTCAAGAGGCTGAGATCTGAGGATCACAGTTGTTGGAAGCAAGCCTGGGAAGACCAATTCAAGAGACTTCTATCTCTAACCAGCAAAAAGCCAAAAGCAGAGCTGTGGCTTAAGTGACAGAATGCCAACCTTGGGGGGGGGGGGGGGGGGAAACACCTGGAAGAACACCTAAGTCCTGGCTTCAAATCCCAGAACTGGCACCAAAAAATTAAAATAAAATACAGAGCTAAAAACAAGCCACCAACAGTTACACTTGACTCTAACATTCCACACTAGAAATACATTCTGAGTATTCTTTTTTTGGGGGGGGAGGAGGTCGTGTGGGTGCTGTCCCTCATCTCTTCAGTTCAGGCTAGTGCTTCACCACTGGAGCCACAGCGCCACTTCCGGTATTCTGAGTGGTTTATTGGAGATAAGAGTTTCACTGACCTTCCTGCCCGGCAGGCTTTGAACCTCGATCCTCAGATCTCAGCCTCCTGAGTAGCTAGGATTACAGGCGTGAGCCACTGGCACCCGGCTCATTCTGAGTATTCTGAAGTATCAATTCTAAGATGCACGTGTTCGCTCTACGCTAAGGTCTCTGAAATTGGGTTGCTTTTATACAAGAGGTCAGGTGCGGTGGTTTGAAGGCAGCACTTTAGGTTTGGGTTTGTTTGTTTGTTTTTTCCATCCTCAACATTATGTTTTACATCAGTGACATCTTAAGTTTGCTCAAATATGCCAAGTTGAAGCTGTCCAGGGTCTCTTTGCCAGCAGGTCACCAAGTTCAGAGGCAGTAGAAAGGCATATCTGGAAATTAGCCAGGGGCATTATTCATTCCCCGGATGCACGTCTACACTCAGTTTTGTAGTATGTCTGGGCGCAGGCTGTGAGCTTCCTGCGGACAGGGGTTCAGTCTGCTTAATCTGTTACCCCAAGGCCCTTCACAAGTGACAAGTTTCAGGTTTCAGCAGATGAATTAATCAATGCTGTGCTTGAAGAATAAAAAATCTGATACGATTAGAGGCCAGCAATGGCCACTACCACTAGCTCAGGCCCCCCAAGTGATCAAAGTGACCACTCCTCTGGTCCTACGCCGCCCCTTCATCCCCAGCACTCGCCAAGCTCTGCACCCCGAGACCACCACTCACCAGCACGTCCCTGAAGAGCAGCTGCGGCCCGGCGTGCACGGTCCAGTCCACCGCGCCACTATTCGGAATCTTGATGCGAATCACCAGCACCTGGTTCTCCATGGCACAGAAGGGGCCGAGGGCCAGCCACCGCATTACAGGCTAGAGGGGCTCACATCCTGCGGCAGGGGGCACCCACGGGCCCCTGCTGAGGAGGGGTTCCAGAGGGCGAGAAGGGGGAGTGAGAGGCAGAAGACCAGGGTGGACACGGGAGGACAGCGGGGCGGGCTGGCAGGGCCCGCAGGCCCCGGCCCAGGCCCCGGTCGGGTGCGGGTTGAGGGTACCTAGGGGAACCGGCAGGGGCCAGGAGGAACTAGCGGAGGTCGGAAGGTTCTGGAGTTGCAAAAGGGAATCGAGCGCCCCCCCCCCCCCCACCCGACAGTGCCGGCAGCCGTGAGGAGAGGCAGCGGGTCTGCGGGAAAGGAGCAGCAGCAGGTGTCCAGCCCTCCTCCGGGGCTCAGCGGACGAGGGGGAGGGTCGCCGACCGGAAGGGGTCCCGGCCCGCCAGCTCACGGGAAAGGCCGACGGGGGGGGGGGGGGGGGGGGCTACGACAGCAGGGTTCGAGGACGGAGTCCCCCACCCCACCTGGAGCCTGAGGGCGCCAGGCGCACTGGCTCAGTGCCGCGCACCCAGAACGCCAGCCCCCGAGGCGGTAGCGGCGGCGGCGGCGGCGGGAAGAAAAAAGGAGGAGGACGAAGGCGACGGCGGCGACGGCACAATGTTACTCCGGAACCAAAACGCGCGGCGCCGGAACCCCGGGAACCGACGAGCGGGGACCCGCCTCCCGGGGCGCCATATTGGAAGAGGGCAGCGAAGGCGCGCCGCCACGCCCCTAAGCGGGCGGGCCCGGAGGCGTGAGCAAGCGGGCGGGGCCGACCCGTGTGGGCCGGCCTGGGGATCCGGCCTTGGCGGGAACGCGCACAGCCAGGTGAGGAAGAGAAGTTTCTTAGGCCTTGCAGCAGTGGCTCAGGCCTCCGATCCTAACTACTCCGGAGGCTGAGATCTAAGGATCGCGGTTCGAGGGCAGCCCTGGCAAGAAAGTCCTTAAGCCGCTGATCTCTGATTAAACACCAAAAGGCCGAAAGTGGGAGCTATGGCTCAAGTGGTAGAGCGGTACCCTTGAGGAAAAGAAAAATAGCTCAGGGACAGCGTGCCCAGGTCCTGAGTTCAAGCCCCAGGACTGGCACAAGAAATATATATGTATATATACCCGTGTGTGTGTGTGTGTGTGTGTGTGTGTGTGTGTGTGTGTGTGTGTGTTTGTGTGTGTGTGTGGTTTGCCTTAAGACAACCCTGAAAACCAAGCTGCTGCTCCCAGTTACCCCTCCTCCATTGTCAAGCCATGCACTTAAAATATTCAGGGGAGAGAGAGCTTGCTTGGTGCATCAAATCCGCAAAAGCACAGCAAACGCTCACTGAAGAGGTGTTATTTACCCTTTTATCCAAGTCACAGGTCCAGAGTACCATCATCATCCTCCCAAGTCGGCAAAACATCTTTATGAGTTTTTCTATGATGTCTTTTACCTTACTAGCGACTTAAAATGCCAAACAGTTCCTCTGTTCAAACCCAAATGTAAAGAAACTCAAGGAGGAAGTATTGTGTTAAATTTCAAAACAAAACAAAAACAGCTATTGCATGTGTTTTCAACTAAATCGCATGGGTATGCAATCAGAGGACAAAATAGTTGTAAGCTTTGCTATTTTTGCTTGTTATATATGGGGTTTTTGTTTCATTTTGTTTGTGCTAGAACTGGGGCTTGAACTCAGGGCCTCACTCCCTTAAGCTTTTTTCACTCAAGCCTGGCATTCTACCACTTAGCCACACCTCTACTTCCTTCAGATTAATTGGAGGTAAGAGCCTCAGGGACTTTCCTTCCAGGGCTCCATTCTAATCACAATCCTCAGAGCTCAGCCTCCTGAGTAACTAGGAATACAAATTCAGCCTTGGTTATTGTTACCTCACATTATAAAGTGTGAACCCTTTTGATCTGTGGTGCCCATATAGAAGTTTGTTTACAAATGGCAGTGTGTAGGTTGGTCCATCATCTGTTTCTAATAAAGGTACCCACATCAGCTTCACCTTTGGGGATTGATTTTCTATAACTTCATTAGGGTAAGGAGTCCAGTTTCCCCTGAACAGATAGCTATTTATTTTGAGAAGGGAGAAAAATTATTGAAAAGTAAATGTTGGTAATTTTCAGTATAATACCACAATTCTTTTCTGAATAATTTTCTCTGCCTAGTTTTATATTTAATTTGAAAGGCCATTGTAGGAAATAAGTGATTACCTTTTAGGTATTGCAATTTAATAGCTTAGGTAGAAATTCATTTAGTAAGATCCACCAGGTATTCTGCCCCTTTCAACCTGCACTTCAGTCTGAAGTGAACCTCTGAAAAATAAACCATTCATCCAAAGTCCCTATGTAGTTTTAGTTGAAAATTCATTCCCTATTATTTGAGAAAATAGACCACAAAACTAGAGATTTTGCTATGGACCTACAAATTGTTAAAATGTCTTTTTATTCAGAGTACCAGGGGAAAAGTCAACTCCATTTGCCAATTTTACATACAAATTCTGAGCTTTTCTTAGTATCATTTCATAATCACATTTCAGCTTTTCAACAGCCTTGCTGGATTTGAACAAGGATTTCCCAAAAAGTTCCTCCTAATTATCATTGCAAGAAATATCATAGCCACAAATATTATAAGATCATTCCATACTGATCATAAATAAAATGTCACTTTTTAATCTCTTCGCCAACCAGAATAAGCTCCATTGTCTAAATTTAAGGTACTTTAGTGTGGATGTTGTATGTAGTCTTAAGGCTTCTACATGTAGTATTTTTTTTTCCAACAATGGATGCAAGTCAAGTAATCACTCAGGCAGCAGCTGAGGTATTTCAGTGACCAAAATGCAGATTGCCTAAGGTAAAAATCCTGTGCTTTCTTGTGTTTTTCCTATTTGAAGGATGTTATGGTTTAGATGTGAAATGTTCGAAGACCATGTGTGCTAAAGGCTTGGTTGCTAATCCAAGTCTATTGGGATGCTATTGAAAGGTTATAGAAACCTTTAGAGGTGGGCCTTGTGGGAGGAAGTTAGATCATTGGGGAGCATGACCCTGAAAGGCTTTAGGGACTCTTACTCTCTTTGCCTCATGGACACAACTTTCCTCTGTTATATGTTACCTTCCTTGGTATTCTGTTTTACCACAAGCCCAAAACTAACTTGGCCAACTGGGAACTGACTGAAACTATGAGCCAGAATATACATCCCCCTCTCCTCAAAAGTTATTTTATTCTCAGATAATTTTGTCATAACAATAGAAAGCTGATTAAAACAAGGGACTTATTTCTGAATAAGTGTAACAGAAAATTCGTCTCCTCATGAAATTATATTCTGATGGGCAAAACAAATTACTAGAGTATATGTAGTGGTAAATGCTAGGAGAAAAATGAACCCAGAGGTATGAGAGATATGAAACTCTTAAGAACTGACTTGGGTTCACAGGAAAGCTTAACTGAAAAGAAGACATTTCTTTTTTTTTTTTCTTCCCCTTTTCTTTGTGATATTACCATTTGAACTCAAACTTGGTAGACAGGTACTCTTCTCTTTGAAACATTGGTCTCCTTAATTTTTTTTAAATTCTCCTTAGTTTTCAGATAGGGTTTTTCTTTTTGCCAAAGCCTACTGGAACCATGATCAACCTATTTGTTTCACAGGTGATTGTGATAACAAGCACACTCAAACACACCTACGTTTTCATTGGTTGATATGGCGTCTAACAAACCTTTTGCCTAAGCTAGCCTTGAACCTCAAACTTGATCTCAGCCACCTGAGGATCTAGGATTATAGCCTCAAGCCACTGTGCACAGTATTCATTGTCTTGTGATTTTTATTTTTAATTGTAATAAAAATGCCTAAAACACCAAATTAACCATTTAACTATATAGTTCAATAGTGTAAAGTACCTCAAATTGTTTGTTATATAACCAGTTTCCTGAGTTTTTCATCCTGCAAAACTGAAATTGGCACTACTTAGGAGACTGACATCTGAGAATTATGATTTGAAGCTAGCCCACAAAGCCAAACCTGAATCACTTTTATCTCCAATGAACCAGCAAAACTGGAAGTGGAGTTGTGACTCAAGTGGTAGAGTGCCAGACATTTCCTTCTTTTTTTTCTTGCCAGTCCTAGGGTTTGAATTCAGGGCCTGGGCACTGTCCCTGAGCTTCTTTTGCTTAAGGCTAGCATTCTACCGCTTGAACCACAGTTCCACTTCTGCCTTTTTCTGTTTATATGGTACTGACAACTTGAACCCAGGGCTTACCGCATGTGAGGCAAGCACTCTGCCACTAAGCAACCTTCCCAGCACTAGAGTCAGACTTAAGTGAGTAAGCCAAGACAGAATATGAGGCCCTAAGTTCAAGCCCAAGTAATAGCAAATAATAATAATAATAACTTCCTATTTTGCATCCTTTCAGCCCTTGGTCACAACCATTCAACTTGCTATTCCTAAAGTTTACGTACTCTAAGTAATTCCTATTAGTGGAATCATACAATATTTGGCTCTTTGTGTCTGATTGATTTCACTTAGAATAATGCCCTCAAGGTTCATCCATGTTGTAACAAATTCAGAAGTACCTTCATTTTCAAGACTAAAAGAAAGTCTACTGAATGTGTATTCCACATTGTGTTTATCTGTCCTTTTGAATTGCTTGGAACTTTTGGCTATTCTGAATAATGCTGCTATGAACATAGGTATTAAAAATACATATTCCAAGCTGGTGTCAGCTACTCATGCCTGTAATCCTGGCTACTCAGGAGGATGAAATCTGAGGATTGTGATTCGAAGCCAGCTTGGCAGGAAGATCTATGAAACTCTTATATCTAATAAATTACTCAGAAAAAGCCAGAAGTGGTGCTGTGATTCAAGTGGTAGAGTTCTAGCCTTGCATAAATGAAGCTCAGATAGCACCCAGACCCTGAGTTCAAGCTCCAGGACCAGCAAAAAAGAAAAGAAAAGAAAAAGCCTTCCAAAGCTTGGGGATACAGCTCAGTACTCACTGGTATAGGGTCTGCTTAGCATGTGTGACACCTGGATTTAATCTCCAGTACCAATAAAAACAAAGAATATTCCACATTCTGATTTTGATTGCTATAATGAAATGACTGAGGCAGGCAAATTGTATAAAGACAAGATACGTTTAGCTCACAGTTTTGGATGGCCTAGGATATGGCACTGGCATCAGCTTGGCTCTGGTGAGGCCCTCATGGCTGGTGACACCACAGTGAAGGGATTATACATGTAAAAAATAATTACAGTTCAAAACGGGGAGCCAGAGAGACTGGACTCCCAAAATCCCTCTTAGAAATATGTTCCTTTGACTTATGTACCTCCTCTAATAGATCACCTCTTAAAATTTCCTTCTCTTAGTACGGCAGCCTTGGCCCCAAGCCTTCAACCCTGAGTGTTTGGAGGGAATACCCTTCAGCTATATCCAAAGCATAGCAGGTATAATCCAGAA